ACAGACTCTTTCCAAATAAAACTGTTAATGTATAGTTTCAAAAGTTTACTGTTATCCAAATTTGTAATTCTCCTTACCTTTTGTGCTCTGAAATCCTCGCTTGATGCAGATACGAATATTAGTTTGTATGCCAATGGGGCTAAATAATTTCTTTAACAGAAATATGAGTGACTACCACATGACATCTAGTAACAAACCCGTGGTTCATCAACCTTATCGAATAATATGTATTAGTCTTATAGAAACTGGCAGGATGATTCGGGCTACATTGTATCGCACAACACGCATTACAAAAGTGTTTCATATTTTAGCTTCAGGTTTCGGGGTTATGTGTTCAATCCAGAGAAATCTGTCTGCTCGCAATGCATGAAATTGGTAAATCTAATCCCTCAGGGAATGCAAAGAACCAAATATAATCAAAACTCGCAAGTCACGTAGAAATCGACCATGGGTTTTATCGCAGCCTTCTCAGTTCCATCTCTTTTCGGTTCAATGGATTTTCAGGAAGGTGAAAGTGATTAACCCAATGAAGATGGACAGTGGCATTGGCGGTCAATCAATCCCCACATCCGGGGTAAGGTGACGAAGATCCATAGCGTTGGACTTCGTCATCACCTAGGTGAAGGCAATATATAGCATCACTAAAACCTGATTCGTTCTTCACTCAGCTTAATCAAACTCGTTACTGATATACTAATTACTTTTAAACTAGCTGAAATTTAATCTCTCGATTATTGAATGTTACATATATATGTTGTGTGTTATTGATAAACATTGAGATAAGTTGATCACCCACATTTGAGGCTTGGTGCATGGCATTGAATATGAGGCGTGTCGTATTATTCACGTTTATTTTCCTGAAATCATCTTACCTACAATGCTGACAAAAAGGATGAAAGTTAAATAAAGTCTTTGGTGCATTTCTTTCATATATCAACTCCAGTAAGTCCGAAGAGGTTCATACAAATGTCTGGAACACAGTGATAAATGAAGACCGTTTATCTTTACACCAAACTAAAATTCAATTTATTTCACCATCCCTCTACCAATACAATTTGCTCAAAATCATATATCCGGTTGGTGTGTACTGTTTATATACAAGAAATATGCACAAAAGTCAAGAATATATCACGGATTTTGAACCTGGACACCAAAACTATGAACTTGAACGTCACGATGAATCATTTGTGCGTGGTTACCCTCAAGCGTACTGTTTTCAAATCAGCCCTTTAGTTTATTCACTTCTGAATGTTGCAAGTAACATTTCCTTCCAACACGCACAGATCAGATCACTTTCACTCATTAGTCAGATAATCTGAGCTATAGTGCGAAGACTAAACGGAGCATGTTTTTATCTCTTTTGATTTGGAGGACCAAACAAAGCATTCTTTCATTCGATCAGTTGAAATTTAGAGCCTGTTTATGATTAGCATGAGATAGCATCTTATTCTTACAACAGTAGCTTTTCTGGTTTCCGACACATCTCCATTCTACGGATTCTGTTTACTAGAATATAAGAGCAGGTCAACTGGGAAAGTGGATTTTTTAAATGTCCTAAATTGGGGGACCTTGTACAAAGATATCCTTGAAGTGATATTGAACGTGTATACATCTGTTAAAAATGCACGCTGTCGGTATCTGGCCAAAAACCACAAAGTTGTGATTTGGGTGATAGGCCATGGAAATTCTGGTTTCAATTACAAACTCTTTTCTAATATGGTAACAACATACAGATTTCATGATCATCATATAAGATATCAACAGAGCTGAGCCAATCATTTCCTGTACTATCATCAAATAGTCCATAGCCTATTAAAAGTGAACTCTGTATGATGCTCACTGCACCATATAACTATGTACCTGACCAAAATGGGTGCAAAGATGAAGATACTCGTTCTCTGTTGTGTAATTTACTCGGCAAAGGACGAAAATCAGGAGCGTTATGACAAACGAGATCGACAATCATCATGAAATTACGGACCATCGGTAAGCAGAAGAAGTGCAGCGATCACAAAAGCTTTGCAACAAAAGCATGCAATTATAAATGTTCATGATGGTCAACCGACTGATCGATGAGTGTCTGCAGTGAACTAGTTAACCAGACAAACCATAGGTTAATCAGTATAAATATTTCGTACAAATATGAATACACAAAACCCAACGTTGTTGGTGCATGTGCCGGACGGAGCATAAGCTGAAGATCCGGATCTTTCTGTGTATCACTGATCATCGTAATCCGTGAAAGACTACCAAAATGGGACAGGAGTTAGTTGGATTTCATTGTGAGAACCAGATCCAAAGTCGATCCTGCGAGTCACCCTGTTATTCTGGGAATATTAGTAGGAGGGCTGAGCAAACGCTTTCATGAGTCGATTACATTTTCTTATACACATGACATTTAAGAAAACTATGAAGTTACACAGAGCCAGCTGTGGACTGTAGAGTGGGTGATCAACTTCCTGAATTCGTTCCTTAGCCTAAAAATGGCAAACGAAATGGGACCTTTATTCAGGTGCGTTATCAAGGTTCAGCAGGGTCCAGAATTTTCGGCATACAATGTATAGTGTACCTGTCTCCGGTGACTGTGCTGTGCTGTACCAAGGGTACAGTAGCCACTTGACGGGTTTTGGGCCATGGACAAGGTCACCATCTGCTTTGCCATATTGTACTCGTGTCTAACTATCTGAAGCCGCTCCCCGCCAACCGGCGTCCACTGAGCCGAGTATGACTACATCTCTGCGTCGAGACTGTACACCCAGGCATCGTCGTCACTGATGATCTCCCAACTTCATTGGAACGTCCACCATCTAATTGTCCAATCATGGTTTGCGCTTATTCATTCCTACTGCTTGCCGTTTTTTACCGAGCTGATGGGGTATCTAGTGTGCACAAACCTCTCTGGGAGCGAATTTCTCATTTATCATGGTGTGCATTCATCCTGATGACATTCTGATAACTTTCGCCAGCAGTACCACTGTCACCCGTGCATCCTCCTCTACCATCGCTTGCACAGCAACAAGATTGTCCGCCGTGGTGGCCTCCGCAGGTTGACCACCCGGAGTCTCATCTTCCCGGGACGGCCTGCCACGCTTGAATTTCACAAACCACTAGAACACAGTTTTTTGAAGACACGTCGTGACCAAAGACAGCTCGCAAACGATCAACGTCAGGCTGCTGGTGCTGCTTTAAACCACATTTGTATTCATAGAAAATCATCACTCTCCAGTGACATCGACTGAGTTCCATCCTTACACTCGAACCTTTACGACTTGATAGTTGTGCTCGGCATTTGATATTTGATTCCGTGAGTTGCAACCACTGAATGATATGCACAATAGATTACAGTTCACATTTTTTCTCTGCCCCGTCATCTGCACCTCGCACGTGTACTGTGTATTCGGTTACGTTTTGCTCAGACTTCGTATTTGCGTGGGATATGGTACGAACCAGAGAAAAACTTTCCAGCTGATCGGATGATCAAAGAGCTCACATTTACTAACCATGGCGTTTGAAAATAGTATTTTGATTTTTACGTCCCTGCACACAAAATAATATAGATCTCCTTGGTGGATGAAGCACTTTGAATTCCACCACAAATTCCACAGGTCACTTTTAATTAAAGGGCTGTTTTTGAGAATTATTGAAAAGTTTGAAATCAGTGAATTTAGTACTAGATGCCAGATTTTGTTGGCCACCAAGCGAGAGCATTATTGTTGTTGATAGTACTTGCATTTTCTGCTCCCGTTGTTCCCGCCGCTGTTGTTGTTCTCGCTGGTGGGGTGGAGGAGGCTGCTGCTGCTGCTGATGGTGATGATGATTTTGAAGAGGAGAAAACCGGGAATAAACGAGAGAAAGTGTCGGTTCAGTTGAATTTCTCGGTGGAAACTGCGACCGTCGGTTTTGTTAATCCGGTCGGCACAAAATGGAAACTGACAATCACCGCATGTGTTTTTGTCCTATCGGGCTATACCCCACAGTTAAATTCACGCGCGCGCACACACACACAAACACACACAGAAATTACGTCCCGCAAAACGATGGATATTGATTTTTAACTTTTTCGGCAATTGGGAAAAGACTTGGTGTTTCCCACCAGTGAAGAAAAACCAATTCAACACATAAGTTTGGAATTTGTTTCATTCTGTTCAGTTATATGACCCTTCATCAACTGACGCAAACCGCAAATGTAAGAATGCACTCAGTGATTGCAAATTAGCCGCCTATTGTTAAGTTAAGTAATTCCATGAATGAAAAACAGCTTGGATTGGATGTACACACAAGTTATGTATATGCAACGCATCAAGTGGAAACACCAATTCCATCGACAACTGATCATCATCAACCTCTGTTCTCATAGTTATTAAACGTCTCTTGAGTAATCCCAAGTTGAGGAAGTCGCCTGAAAAGAATGGTGGATTTTTTTATTTGAACCATTTTCTTTTGCACTGTCTCTCATCCCTAACATCAGCTTTGAGGGTTTGGTTTGTTTCACGTAAATAATTGTTAAATCGTTGGTAGACAATGGGCTTGATTCGAGCACTGTACAGTCTAGGAAGATTACTAGATTTTTGAATGCATCTAAATTCCTTCTCCAGAATGAAAGCTACGTTGCTTTGGAGTAAACAGACATCGAATG